CTGGCCCGCCGCAGATATACCAAGGGCATGAGATCTAAATCCCCACATTTGCTCAGTAAATATTCATCTAGTGTTTACTATATTCCAGGCCCTGTGCCAGCAGCTGTGGACACAGCAACGAACAAGACCAATTGTTCGTTGGGGGCGGGGGGGTGTGGCAACGAAGGCTCAGGGTCCATCAGAAAAGCAAGCCTGGGGGTATGCATACATACGTCAAAACACATCAAACTGTACACTTTAAATATGTGCAGTTTATTCTAAAAGCCCCGTAGCAGGCATCCCCCCGGTCCCACTGGCACATTATCAGTTGTGTTCAGACTCTATTGTAAAAGGCATGCTCTGCCAGCAAAGGAAGAGCTGGTTGCTGGGTGGCAGCCAGCAGTGTGCACTTCATGAAGTCACCTGCCTGAGGTCACAGACAGTAAAAATAAAGCTGGGATCTGAACCCATCTGCCTCCAAAGCCAGTGTTCCTTTCACTAGGCCACACCCCACCTAACGCTGCTGCATTTCAGAGTGATCAAATCACTCACTGCAGAACTACCCTGTAGGGCGTGTCCTTAGCCCAGAGATCTCTCATTCCTGAAGGCTCTCCCAGTCACAGGGGCCCTAACAGAATGCTGAGCCCTTGGCTCATTGCAGCTCTACAGAACCTCTTAGAGGCCCATAAAGTACAGTGTGAAAATCACAGTCACTGAATACGCAAGAGGAGAATACAGTATGTACCTGTAAAAATGTATGCCTCATTTCCAGAATTCAAAATAAGAATCCAATATAAAGAAAGAAATTCATGGGTTAAAGCTAAAACAATTTATTCATGATACTTCCTTAGGCTCTGATTTATCATCTACAGACTATTTTTCTATTCAGTGCTGACAATTAGCTCCTAAGCCCACAGGTATGGAAAGGCATTTGAGACAGGCATACGACAGTGGTAAGAACTGCGGACAGCTAATGCAGTGAAAGCAAAAGGCCAGAAAAACTAAAAAAGCTGAAAGACAAAAAAACTTCAAACAAATAATAGGGGCAACAGCTCAACAAGCCCTAACACCAATGTTGTGTGTTTACATCACAACATAACAAATTATGTTTTAAATGGTTACTTGGGATCATTAGGGAAAGTTTATATCACATTCAGCATAGTCCCTTACGAAAGCAAGGAAATAACATATTTTAGGAAGATTTCCATCCTAAATGGGAGATTTGGGTGCTTAATGGGCAAAAACCCAAAACCAAATTATCCAGAAAACTCTGCTGTTCAAAAAGAGTTACTTTCCTCTTGGCAATGCTTTGGCATTCCTGGCTGGCAATGGTTTTATTGTCAATGATTTTAAAATAACTTGCATGGGGCCGGCCCCGTGGCTTAGCGGTTAAGTGCGCGTGCTCCGCTGCTGGCGGCCTGGGTTCGGATCCGGGGTGCGCACTGACGCACCGCTTCTCCGGCCATGCTGAGGCCGCGTCCCACATACAGCAACTAGAAGGACATGCAGCTATGACATACAACTATCTACTGGGGCTTTGGGGGAAAAATAAATAAATAAAAATTAAAGAAAAATAAATAAATAACTTGCATGAATCCATACTGAGTTAATTCTTTGGGCTACAGTACCAATGGGAACAGCACTACTACTGCACATTGTTATAGAACCTAGCATCTACATGTGCATGTGTGCAGCTACACAGATACACTGGCCCATGTTACAGTAGATGCTCTACAGTAAGAGCTTATTCCTCCCTCGTGAGTAACATTTGTTTATACGGAAAAAAGTGCTCAGGAGCTGGCTTTTTTGGCTAACAACGGCCCTGATTTACTGTCTGACTGAAGACAAATCATTTAATCTCTTTGTACATCACTGATTTCCTTATTTGTAAAAGTAAGATAATGATTTACCTCTCAATTTGGTGGATTTTAAACTAAAGATCTTTCTTGACTTATGATGAGGTTGCATCCCGATAAACCCACGGTAAGCTGAAAATATCAAGTCAAAAATGCATTTAATACACCTAACCTACTAAAAACATCATAGCTTAGCCTAGCCTACCTTACACTTACTGTGCTAAGAGTGTTTACATTAGCCTACAATTGGGCAAAATCATCTAACACAAAGCCTATTTTATAAGAAACTTCTGAATATCTCATGTGATTTATTAAATACTGTACTGAAAGTGAGAAAGAATGGTTGTATGGGTACAGAATGGTTGTATCCCACCACATATCACTAGACTAGGAAAAGATCAAAATTCAAAGTACAGTTTCTATTGAACGCGTATCACTTTTGCACCATCGTAAACTCGAAAAATCTTAAGTCAAACCACTGTAAGTCAGCGACCATCTGTACTACTAAAAATTCTTTAGAAATATCTTATTATATTTAGATAAATAATTTAAACCTTAAATTACATGTTTTAAAACTCTGAAAATTTTCCCAACGGAATACCTTACGAAGAAACAGATGTCTAAAAGCAAGTTAAAATAAAAAGTTACTTATATTTGTTCTAAAGCTCTATAAAAATAACTGATAGCATTAATGTTGCCTCATTTTCAAACTAACAAAAAAAAGGATGCAATTAATTCCTCTGAATGAATTTCCAGAGTATAACCCTAGTGTCCATGGAGATGAGTTGCTTTTATGATCTCAATTAAGTGCACTTTCTTTCCTACCATTAACCTTTTCTTCAAGGAGGTGGCAACCCAGCAGTGAAATAAATCGAACACATGCCTTGTTGCAAAGGTTCTACCCACTGTGCTGAGTCCTCAATCTCTGGAATTTCCCTCCCTGACAGGAGAGCAAACTAAAGCCAGGTTACAGCAGTGATTCGATCAGCTCCATTCATTCATATTTTCCCTCCAAGCTTCAATAACAAGCACACATAAGAAAGAGAAGGAGTAGAAGGTGGGGAGGGGCAAGTCTGAAGGACAAGGACGAAAATACCAAGACAGCAGAATATGACAGTCAGTTTCACAGGGATTCAAGTTGTGTTGGGCCTGAAACTTATACAATTTGGGGTCTCTCTTTTTAAAAAAGAATACAAAAGGGGCCGACCCAGTGGCATAGTGGTTAAGTTTGTGTGCTCTGCTTCGGTGGCCTGGGGTTTGTGGATTTGGATCCTGGGTGTGGACCTACAGACCACTCATCAAGCCATGCTGTGGTGGTGTCCCACTTACAAAATGGAGGAGGATTGGCACAGATGTTAGGTCAGCGCCAGTCTCCCTCAAGCAAAAAAAAAAAAAGAGGAAGAGTGGCAACAGATGTTAGCTCAGGGCCAATCTTCCTCACCAAAAAAAAAGGAAAATTATAGACACAAGACCACAGAGGTCCTTCTGTGCCTTGGAAGGGGCCCGTGAAAGTGAAGAACCCTGAAACCTGAACTTCATTAGCTTCACAGTAAATCTGCCCCATAAATGACACCCTGATTCAGGTTCAGGGATGGGGTAGAACCTCAGAATACTGAAAACTACAAGTGACTTCAGACATCACCTACTGCAGTCTTCTCAGTTCACAGATGAGAAAACAGTGGGCCAGAAGTGATTAGAGATTTCCATATGCCTGGAAGATTAGGTGGTTAGAAATTACACAGAGAAACTGGGAGGTTAAGTGGTCAAGAAATAGTATGTATGGACAGATGAGTAGTGAAGGACCTGACACAGCTATGGTATTGTCGGTGCTTTTCATGAACACAACTAGTCAGGAAAGACAAAAGGATTGGTGAGGTCAAGGAAAAAGCCACTATGGAAAAGCTTAGAGCTGGCAGGTGATGGGGAAATCAAGACACAGAGAACGTGTGAAGGCTATGGTGCTGCAGAGGGGGTAGCTCCTAACAGCAAGGTGCAAACACCAGCAGGTCAAAGAGCACACATAGACGGGAGGCCATGATACAGAAAGGACACAGAGACAAGACAAAACAAAAGGATGACACTAGACCTGGAGGAACTGTGAAACACAACTCAGTATTCCCATATCCAGTATTCAGGCTACAGCTGCAGTCAGACAACTGTACATCTGGTGGGTGAGGAACCTGCTGCTCCAGACTTGCTCCCCATTCTGTGTTTCTCCATCTCTGAGTCATCCACTCAAACACTCAAGCCAGAAATCTGGAAGTTGTCAGAAACACCACCACCTCACTCCTTTCCCATCAGACTTGCCCCAAGTCCTCTCCACCACTGTGTCCAGGTCTTCAGGTCCAAATGTCTCTATCCAGAACCACCACACATCTTCCTAAGAAGCAGTCACCCCACACCATCGTCCCCACACCCGCAGACTGCCTCCTTTGTCACTGAGGTCTCATCGCAACGCTTCCCTGTTCCAGATCCTCCTCAGCCCTTGCCACTTCCCACCTCTAACCTCCCGTATATGTAGGACTATCTGAACCCCAGGTCTCGAACCTTCTGCTCCCTCCGCAGGATGAATGGCCTCTTGCCCCATCGCCTCCCCGCTCCCCCTCATTCAGAACTCGGCTCAGATGGCCCTCCTGTGCGGACACCTGCCAACCGGGCCCTCCCTGGCAGACTCAGACAGTCCTCCGCTCCGCCGCCCTAGTGTCCTCTGCGAGTCTAGGTACCCGCCGGCGCCGACCCCTGTCCGTCCGTCTCCCCCGCCCCACACCCCCGGAGATCTGGTACTAGCAGCGTGAGCCCGATTCAGGGGCCCAGGGGCATAGGGGAGGCGGTGCAAAGGTCAGAGGACACCCTTGGGGGCGACCAGACAGCCGTGCCCAAGCCAAGGATGACGGGCTGATCCGCAGGGCACACACCTCCTGAGGGAGGTTCGGGTCCCACAACTCCCCGAAAGGGCCAGGGCGCAGCGCCGGGGTCGGGGGTCAGGGGCGTGAGGCGACAGGAGAGGGCAGGGCGCAGCGCCGTGGTCGGGGGTCAGGGGCGTGAGGTGACAGCAGAGGCGCGGGTATAGAGGCGAGGCCGGCACGGGAGCGGGGCAGTTGGGACACGCGACGGCGCAGCACTGCGAGCGCAGCCCGCCACGCTGGCCCCTAGCCCGGGCCCTACCTAGAGATGCGCCAGCACCGCCGGAGACGCGCCGCGCCACCCTCAGCCCCACCCTGGCCACGCACAGCCGCTCTAAGCACTTCTGCTTCCGCTTGGGCCACTTCCGCTCGAGGGACCGCCCCGCTCGGGGCCGGGGCCTGCGCGGCCAAGCCCCATAGACGCCGGGGGAGAGAGGTGCAGGCGTTGGGGGGGGCGGGCCGCGCAGGCGCCGGAGGCGCGAGATGCGCAGGCGCGGCGCCCGTTGCTGCGGAAACCGCGCGGGGCTTCCCGTGGGCGTCGGTGCTGCGGCATCGCTTCCTGGTTCGTGCTCAGGCACTCTTGTGCGGGTGCGTGGGGCCGCTGGTCACCATACCCCACGCCAGGGTTCTGCGGAAAGACTCGCAGTGGCCAGTGCGGGCTGGCTTAGGAGACTCTCAGCTGGTTTAGCCCCGGCTAACCGAAAGGCTGTTGCTAGCTAGCATCAGAACACATCCGTTACCTTTGGAGCATGGGGGGGTGGGGGTGGTGGAATGGGTTGGGCTTACAGCCCTGGGACCTTGAGCAAGTTACTGGACCTCTGTCCCCTGGCTTCCTCATCTGTAAAGTTGGAATCATAATGGTACCTCCGGGACGGAGCTTGGCCCGTGGTCAGCACTAAGTAAATAGAAGCCATTTGTTGGCTAATTGCTGTGATGACAAGGAGGATCATGGTTACTCTTGAGCCCACATCTTTTTTTTTTTTTTTTTTTTTGAGGTCATAATAGTTTATAACATTGTAAAATTTAAGTTGTACATTATTATTTGTCAGGCACCATATAATGCACCCCTTCACCACTTGTGCCCACCCCCAACCACCTTTCCCCTGGTAACCACCAAACTGTTCTCTCTGTCCGTGTATTAGTGTATCGTCCACATATGAGTGAAATCATACAGTGTTTGTCTTTCTCTTTCTGGCTTATTTCTCTTAACATAATACCCTCAAGGTCCATCCATGTTGTTGTGAATGGGAGGATTTTGTCTTTTTTTATGGCTGAGTAGTATTCCATTGTATATATATACCACATCTTCTTTATCCAATCATCAGTCAATGGGCACTTGGGTTGCTTGCACGTCCTGGCTACAGTGAATAATGCTGCAATGAACACAGGGATGCATAAGTCTCTTTGGATTGTTGATTTCAAGTTCTTTGGATAAATACCCAGTAGTGGGATAGCTGGGTCACATGGTATTTATATTTTTAATTTTTTGAGGAATCTCCATACTTTTCCATAGAGGCTGTACCAGTTTGCATTCCCCCCAGCAGTGTATGAGGATTCCTTTTCTCCACAACCTCTCCAACATTTATTTTTTGTCTTGGTCATTATAGCCATTCTAACAGGTGTAAGGCGATATCTTAGTGTAGTTTTGATTTGCATTTCCCTGATAATTAGTGATGTTGAACATCTTTTCATGTGGTTATTGGCCATCTGTATATCTTCTTTGGAAAAGTGTCTGTTCATATCCTCTGCCCATTTTTTGATCAGGTTGTTTTTTTGTTCAGTTGTGTGAGTTCTTTATCTATTATGGAGATTAACCCCTTCTTGGGATGTATGATTTGCAAATATTTTCTCCCAGCTGGTAGGTTGTCTTTTCATTTTGATCCTGGTTTCCTGAGCCCACATCTTTTTAACTGGCAGGTTTGCCTGTCTGGCACGGAGTGTGAGAGTTCAGGCCTAGGGAGGAGCAATGATGGCTGAGGATGCACGATGCTTTAGATGAGTTTGAATGCATGCAACGTCTTCACAAGGGGCAGAGGCAGACAAAACTGGCCGGTGACCTTGATCACACAGGGTATCCGTCTCACGTTAAGCAGTTTGGACTCTTTGTAAGCCACCGTCTGGACCTTATTTCTGAAGCAGCTTTAAGATCAGTAAAGTTCCCATTCATGCTCCCTTGGGCGTGGAGATAAGGCAGGCTTCAGATTATACACAATTCCCATGCCTCTAGCTGCAACGCCACCCTTTTCTCTACAACCCAGAGAACATTTTGTTAGCCAAGTGTCATGACGGAAGCATAACCTTGAAACCAATCTAATTTACTTTTTAAGTACATTATTGACAAATTATTAATAATAAATTATGTAAGATGCATCTCAAAACCTATCTTTACACACGACATATCTTATTAGGGTTATTGTAAGCCCCAGTGAGCTAGAGGCTTCAATCAGGGACATAAAATGATCAAATATTCTTCCTTCAGAGTCTCTTGCAAAGCATTAGACAGATCAAGCACTCAAAAAGCATTACCAAATTGAAGTGACACCATTTTTATGTATTAAACAATTTGGGAAGGAATCTCTCCATTTGGCATACAAGGCTTTCATTACCTGTTGATATTTTGTTTCAAAGTAAAATCGACAAGCAGTGCTCATCATCTATTACTGTTTGGGTGACACCAAGAAGTATGTGAAATGGTCTCAAGTCTGAAAGAACACACATTGTGGCAAGAAGATAATGTGTGAACCAAGCCTGGAAGGAAGGGTAGGATCTGAGACAGGATTAGAAGAGGAAGGACTTCCAGACATAAGGAGCAGGCCTGGGAAAGAGATAGAGGTAGAAATTCAGGTGGTGGAGGGAGGAACCAGGCACACCAGACTTAAGGAGCAGGAGCTCCCACTGACAGACAGTGGAGACGTGGGGCCAGATTGTGGAGGTGGAGGGAGGCAGGCAACAAAGCCCCTCTGATTGCCTTACAGGAGTTGTACCACTGGGCAGTCCTCATCTATCCCACAGAGCTTCCAATAAGCATTTTGCCTCACCCCTAAATATACACAGATGACCAAGGGTCAGCAGACATGTGAGGGAGACAGACAGGAAAAAAAGGAAAAAATAGAAACCAGGAAGAAGAAAAAATAAAAAACTTTATTATCTGCAGTCTCTGAAGTTAATATTACATCCATGAAAGAAAAAGAGAAAGATATGTAAAAGAACATTCAGAAAATAAGAAACAGCACTTGAAAATTAAGAAAAGCAATAACTTAAATTTAAAAATTGATAAAAGAGAAGATAAATTTGATGATATCACTCAGATAACAGAATACAAAGGAAAAGAGATGGAGAAAGAGAAAACATAAGAATATTAGAAGATCAATCTAAGAAGTTTGACCTCTGAAAAATAGGAATTACAGGAAAGAGAACAGAGAAAATAAAAAGGAGGAAATTACTCAAGAAATAATTCAAGAAAACTTCCCAGATCTAAAAGACATGTTCTCATATTGAAAGGACTCACCAAATGTCCAGCACAACAAACCTAAAAAAATCCACAGCAAGGCACGTCATCACAAAATTCCAGTGATAAAGAAAAGATCTTAAAAAGTTTCCATGAGGAAAAATAAAAAGGTCACATTTAAGGGATTGGAAATCAGAATGACATGGGAATTCTCAATAGAATCCCTGAAGCTGAAATTCAATGGGGCATTAACTTTAAAATTCCGAAGAAAATAATTCTAACATGAAATTCTACTCTCAATCAAAATGTTACTTAAATGTGAAGGTAGAATAATGATATTTTCAGATATGCAGCTCAAAAATATTATCTACTGGGGCTGGCCTTTTGCACGCTCTGCTTTGGTGGCCTGCGTTCAGTTCCTGGGCGCCGACCTACACTACTAGTCTGGCCATGCTGTCGTGGTGACCCGTATACAAAAAATAGAGGAAGATTGGCACAGATGTTAGCTCAGGGCAAATCTTCCTCAGGAAAAAAAAAAATATATATATATATGTATATCTATAATCTACTAAATACTTTATCTCAGAAATCTCCTGGAGGAAATTCTTCTCCAAAATTAAGAAATCAAGAAAGAGGAATATTTAGGACGTAGATAGCAGGGAATCTAAGTGAAGGGAGAGGAGGGAAGTCCCAGGACAAAAGCTGGAAACCATCTAGATTGGAGCAGGAGGCTTCCTGGAAACATATTTCCAGGAAAAAGTGAAACCCATGGAATACTTGTTTGAATATTTTAAAAGGAGGTCTTCAGAGTTTGGCGACGATAATAAGTAAAAGGTACATAGAAAAGTCAATAAGCAAATAAATTAGGCAATTGTTGAATCCAATAAAGACAGAAATGTACAAAAAAGAAAATGTAACCATAGCATATGCCTCAGCTGTGAATGAGGGTTACATAATTTTAACCAGGTAAATACGGAATGGTAATTTAATCGAAGGATGTTATAACTTTTTGAAAAATGGGAGGTGATCTTTTATATGTGTTCATAAATGTGTGTGTCTAGGAAATCAAGTGGAAGAGTTAAATTTTCATCTTCTAGAGTGAGGAAGTCATAGACAATATACACAACTGAAAAAGAAAGACATAGCATTAGAAACTCTTCTTTAAAGAAATATGAGAGTAAATTCCAAAAGAAGTAGCTAAGAGTTAAATGTAAAGAAAGGAATGGGGAGTGGGAATATATGGTGTGGGCAATTGCTATTTTTTGTTATAAATCTAGAAATGCTATTTGAATTTTAAAATCTGTAAGTATATTACTTTAATAAAAGGAAAAATTTTAAATTTAAGTTTTAAAAAGTGGTTAAGTAACTAGTACAAGTGGTAGTAAGTGGCATAATTGTTACTCAGACTCAAATCTGTTTAAATTCTAAAGGCTTTAAAATATTTTTTACATCTACAATACACTACAGTGAAGGGAAGGAAAAGCCAGAGATTACTCCAGGTCTCTTTCCTGGGAGACGAAAAGAAAAGTTGTTCGTAGAAATCAGTGCAAAAGTAGCAAAAAACAATTACCTATGATCATTTACACCCTTTCCCCACCTCCTGCTTCATACCACACGAAGACACTCTTCTGTGCCTTATTGTGCACATCACATTGACCAGTGTAGGGAGAATCTAAAAACAGGATGAAAAATTTACATAAAAGAGAAAAATAGGGAGGAAAGAAAGGAAAAAAAAGAAAACTGTAGGTTGAGAGTAGGGAGAAGTTGGGAATTAAGGGAGAGTGACATGATGAAGAGAAAGACTTTGTGTCAACTGTGAGGAAGAAAAGAAACATGGAGAAGGAAATGAGTTGGAAAAGGACAGGTTTCTCTTG